CTAACAAACTTTAGTGTGGGATTGTCTAATGAAATGATATCACAAATATAATAGCTGTCAAATAACTAATTAAAATTTGAGAGTAAAGTGATGAGGTCGGAGGACTGCAGAGAAAATAAAAATACCTCCAAACTATCCTCTACATTTATATCCAATTTCATGAATATCCGTTCAGCAGTTTAGGCTACAAATTCTAACTTCCATTTAAACTTTCGTATTTTTAATATTAGCTAGATAAAATATAAAAAATGAAGCTACCAATAAGTATGAGATGTTGGCAGTGGCGAGTGAGCGCGGCCACGATGTGCGTCTCCAGCACCTCCGCCGCCTCCTCCACCAGCACTGCCATTGATACAATCATATATAAAACAAAAACTATTAGCACATACGAATTTTCTTGTTACTGACGTAAATTCCATTTTATTTAAATACCAACTGTTGCTCGCGACTCCGTCCGCATGGAATAAAATGAAACAAGTAAACAGCCTATGTGTTCTTCGAGACTATCCTCTACATCTATGACAAATATCATCGAGACCTCATCAGCAGTTCAGACTACTCTAACAAACATCCATCCATCTTATTTTCCGCATTTATAATATTAGTAAGAAATAAGATATATGACGTCATCATATGCGTCATTAACATCTTAAATACACAATTTAAAAGGCTTTACAAGCTTTTACAAGTAATTTAGTGTTAAGAAAACCAGTACTGCGCCGGATTGGCGCAACACTAGAACATTGGCAGACACGTCCCGTCCCTATGACAGCTGTCAATGTCATTCTGACGTACTAGCGACATTCTGGCGGGAGACAATGGTCCGAGTGTTGAAGTTAATTACGTTTTTACAATTGTGTAAATGTAGTGATAAGTGTGTATTTGTGTTATCTTATGTAGATACCGATGTGGCAGCGCAGGCGCTGCAGCAGCGCGCGGCGCGCGGCGGCGGCGGCCGTGGTGAGCGCCAGCACGCGCGCCGCGCCGCACGCCTCCGCCTCCACCAGCCTCTTCACCTCCTCGCACTCCGCACTGCACCTCGCGTGGTTCTCCTGAACGACCCATCATCATCAGCTCACTACACCTCCCCACTAAAGAGCTCGGAGTCTACCTTAAGTTGGAGCAGTGAATATCAAACTTATTTCTTTTACCGTCCCCTTTGAAAATCAATGATCTTTCAGCGCTCCCCATTTTTATAATTTTTTTATGAAATTTAAAATACTATCCCCTAACCCATATCAACGCCACTAATTTTTCTGGGTCCTTATAACGCCCCTCTCTAGGTTTCAAACGCCTCCAAGGGGTTCTTATAGCCCACTTTGAGAAACTGAGTTAGAATGACTAAGCCAACCACTCTGCGGGTCAACTCCACACTTACGAGTATCTTTGAATTTTATCACAGACATGTGCAAACATCGTGATGTTTTCTTTCACCGTAAGAACGTCGAGTAAATATTATGAATTTGCAAAATCTAAAACCCCATTTGAGCAGGATTCGATCCCAGGAGCTACCGACATCGGATATTTTAATTAAGTTCAAAAAATTATCACATTTAACACAAGTTTTACATGAATTTAATGTCCACAAACCCATATAAAATTTTAAGAATCGCTTTTCATAATACAATAGAACCTCGATAAGTTAAAGTTCAAGGGAAACACAAAATTAAGTTATAGAGGTTTTAAGTTATCAAGGGTCTATTTTGTAGAGGTTTTGGTCTCTGATAGGAAGAACATATTATTTTTTGAAGTTATAGAAGGTTTTTAAGTTACCGAGGTTTCAGTTATCAAGGTTCTACTGTAGCATTTTTTACTCAGAGTATAAATAAAAATTTACGTTACAGTTGCAAATATAAAACAAAAAGAATTTAAACAAAATATAACTTACCAATAAATCATTCATTTTAGTCATTAATGTGTCTTTTAAAGCGGCCACCGCTGTCAAATAAACTGTCCATCTTTGATCTGGAGACAGCTGGTACAGATCTTCTACCTCAGAAATATCCTTTGTTACTCCGACATTTTTAAAACACGACATACTTTGCTGTAACGATAATATTTATAACTATTCATAATAAAATGCAATATAACAAAAAAAAAATTAACAAATAAAAAGGTAACAAATAAACTCAAAAACTATATTATCGATTGAAAAAATAATTTAACTATTAAAAAATAGCATCATTACTATGTGACGTAAACTATATTTTATTGTAATACTAATATTATAAAGAGTAAAAATTTATACTTTTGTATGTATTGAAATAACTCAATAATATTGGGCAGATTTTAAAAATTCTTTCACTATTAAAAAGCGACATTATCCCTAAGTAACATAGACTTTTTTATTTTTAATTTATGCAAGCGAAGTCGTGAGCAACAGCTAGTAGTAATCTATCTATACTATTATAATAAAGTGTAAACACATTTTTTGTTGCCTAAGATGTCAGCAATTACACCATGTTTTTGAATAATTCTTTCTTTAATAAAAAGCCCTCCACTTGCGTCACGCTTTAGGATATATAATTTAACGCCATTATAATTAGGGGGTAAATATTTTGGATAAAATCCCTACTATGGGAAAAAGACCATAAATTGCTGCCAACATTAAGGAAGCAAGATTGCCAAGGTTTGTCATGTCATGACATTTTGACATTTGCAATTGACAATTTGACACATGTAAACAAGAAAATAATTTTATGCTGATAAAATCGCACGGGAACAGCTAGTAAAAATTATGTAAAGGAAATAGCTGTTATAAAAAAGCCTACCTTAAAATATTCCAATCTGTTTGTCAGTTTAGTTATTTGTTTTTCAAATTTGTCAATCATTTCTTTAGTTTGTATTACATCGTCTGTTAAATCTTTTACGTATTTTATGCTTTTATTCATCGATTCTATTTCTTTAAGAGCCCATTCTTCGGAGAAACATGTTTCTACATTATCACAAACTAATTCCTCGTATTGTTTCTCCCAATCATCTTCATTATTTAGATGTATATTGTTTTCTTCCAAATGATTAAATAACCAAGATATTATCGAATCTTCGTTAGTGGTTTTTAATTCGTAATTCTTATTTTTAATTTTTAAATAAGGTTTAAGAGTCTTATATGATACTATCTCTTTCTCACACTTCTCTATCTCCGTTTGTAATTCCATCATTTCTTTGTAAACTCTCTCTAACTCTGCTTTTTTACTTCCATAGAGATATGAGTATTTAGATTTGATTCTCCCTCTCATACTATGTAAAGTGTAATTCTGTAATTTTTCACTTTTACTCTGATTGCCAAATCTAATAATACTTTGAGTTGTATCAAGTATTCCTTCAAGGAATTGATCGAGGGCGTGATTCGTGTAGCAAATGATTAGCATCGGAGTACCTTCTAAAGACAAATTCTTTAGTAATGTTGATGCGATTTTGATTCCTAAGAACGTTTTCCCCGTTCCCGGTGGACCTTGTATGACAGCAAATTGTCGTGTCAAAGCAAACTGATAAGCACTCATTTGTGATTCATCTAAACAGAAAGTTTCCTTTGAAGGCCATTTTTTAGTATCAAGTACGGGGAAACTTATTTCCTCATTATTAGGACCTGATATACTGTAAATTGTATCATTTGATAAATATTGAGGTGGTTTTGATTCTGCCTGGAATTGAAAATTATTATATTTTAAAGTAACTTGTTTTACGTTTTTTTCAATTGTCTTGACAAAAATTTGAAAATAACGTTAAAAAGTCGTGTACTAAATTTTGGTCATCTAATATTGATAATACATTTATGTTCTATGCATTTAAATAATTCACATTTTAGAGTTTAGTATTGCAAAATGTGCATTTTAAACATACTGTAGTTTACGTAGGATCCATCGACTTGAGTTGAATGGTGAATTTCCTATGAAATAATATTTAAACATGTTCTTACCTGAACATATACAATATACTCCTTCATCGGTAAATCTTCAGCTCTCATGTTTTGTAGAACCTTCAGCACTTTGTGATAAGGTTCAAAATAAACTTCACTTTCCACCATCAAATATTCTTTTTCGTATATTTTATTTGACACTGGATTTTCAAATGATACTACAACCTGTTAAAATCATAATAGGTTATTAATAACATTGTTTTTTTTTTAATTCTACTCAAGATGAATAATAACACTTTCATCATCACAATTATTAGCCTTCACCTGCTTACTTTTAGATGATAAATTTTTTAGAATTTAGTAACTTAAGAAAATTAACTGTCAATTTTTATTTAAATTGGTATTTAACCAAAATACACATTGCATTTCGACATACTATACACAAGTTAATAAGTCCTAATTTTAGTCCCTTTCCCTTTCCACCCTTTTCTTAAGAGAAAGGATGGGAAAGAAAAGTGGAGTTGACAGTGTAGGTGACACATAGGAAGGAGAAATATCCTCTTTATGTGCATCTCCTCCGTCAATGAACGGTAGGCAACGCATCTGCAATTGCGGATGTTTATGGGCAGCGGTCGCTTTCCATTTCAGTGGATTCAGGTGGCCGCTTGCGAGTTTGCCACTTTAAACTATAAAAAAAAAGTAGGAAAAATTGGATGGATGTTTGTTACTATGAATCTCCAAACACATAACCTAAGTTTTTGTAATTTTATGCAAAGTCACAGGCAAAACAAAATAAGTCATATACCTTTAACATTAAAGTTAAGATATTAATACAAAAAAATTAAATACATACATAACCTTGTTCCAATAAATGTTGATTAGAATCCAGTACGGAGGCAAACAGTATAGTTTCAAAGTTATCACTCGTAAAAAGCAACAGAGAGCCAAACATCAACTGTTTGCTGTGAGCGTATTGCTTCCTGTCAGTACTGCCACCGTCCGAGCGCTCTCTACACATGTCCACCAAATATCCTACTTTGTTGTTACTCACATATGTTCTAACTATACGCACTTTTGGATACACCCTGAAAATTTTAAAACAAAAACAGTTAATAATGCTTTTGCCCACAAATTAGTTCGCACGGGATAAAAATAAATTTAGTATTGTATGTTCTACGTCTATGATGAATTTACAACCATCCATCTGTTTCATTCTAACTTTCGCATTTATAATATTAAGATAAGCTTGGAACACAAATTTACATTTTCAGAGCTTTTAATTGAGTTTTTAAGACAAATTTTACAACCTTCAGAAGCCAAAATCTAAAGAGAGAAAGATATTATATTTATATAATTGTTATTTAAAAAATCATATACCTTATATTTTCATGCCTCCGTTTAGATGGATTTTCCATATATTTGCCTGAAATTATTGCAAAAAATCATTACTTTGTTATAGCACTGTATTTATTTAAAAAGAATTATTTAATTGTTCATTAAAAAAATTCAAGCAACGAAGAGTAAATGATAAGCATGTTTTCTATATGCATATATATTTTATCATTAAACATAGCAGTTTTCAAATTTAACATAATGTTTTTACCAACATATTCCTTCTCGTAATGGTGCAAAGTAATCCTCTCTCAACAACTTAAACTGCAGATCTAAGTAATGTTCTACTGATGGGTATGCTCCCTTGATTATGTTTGGTTTTATTACAACCTTACTCTCTCCGAGAAGATCATCTTTTGTGGGAAATATTTGCAAATTCTTAAAATTAGTAGGATCATTATCAATTTGTGTTGATGTTGGAAGGCAGTCATTTGTTTCCTAAAAATACAAAATAGCAATAAACTTATATTTGAAAGTCATATTTATGTTATCTGATTTTTTAAGAGTTTAATTTATAATTACCTGACTAATTTTCATCGTTATGTCATTTTTCAGTTGATTGATTTTTGTGAAAAAGCTATCCCTAATTGTCTCCGTATGTTCCTCTCTCACTCCTACAGCACTTGTCTCCGTTATCTCTAACAACTCCAGTATTTCAAACAAAACCTCATTTTCCTTGATATGAAACTTGAACATTCCTTCACACAACATAAAAATGTTCAAAAAAAATGTCTCTACATCGTCCCATAACTGCATATTCATCTTCTTTTCAACAATTCTTACATTTGGCAACTGTTTTAAATATGTTTTTAAATTGTTTATAAAAACTGATTTCAAAAATCTCGTCCTTAACAATGATACTATTTTTGATTTATCTTCACTTTCTAAAGAACCATATATGTTACTTAATGTTTTAATAATTAAAACTATAAAATCTCCTTTCAGGTCGATGTCTAAGAGGTGCCAGAATCCCGGTCTATGTGATATTTCCAGGCTAAGTATCGGAGGTTTCAAATATGATAAATCCATTAATCTTTTAAAACCAATAGGTTTCTTCTCCACGTCTTTTGGTGTTAGTTTTGTTTGTGTTTCAGGTTTGTCTTCGTCATCGAACTGTGTCGAGCTTGTTGCCTGTCTCGCATCTTCGATGAGTGTGCCATCAAACCAATCTATCCTGAGGGACGACTTGCTATCAGACATGATTTAAATTGTTTATATTTAATTTAAAAAAGCACCTATATGCAATCTTTTGTAAATATATCACACGATTACAACTTTTACAATCCGAAAAAAGTTTGGCTATCGTGAATGTCAAATGTCAATGTCATTGTCATTTTTTTCAGACGATTCTAATTTTTTTTTGTAAGTGAGGTCAATATTGTAACATTTCTGCCAAGAACTGAAAAGAAAATGTTAAAATGTTAACTTTTGAAATGGAGAATTATTAAAGTTGTATTGAAATTTACATTTTATTCGATAGGACTGTTTTAAAACGCAATGTGAAGGTATTTTATGATTTCTAACGACACAAGAAAAAACATATGCTTCTCTTTGGCAAACATAAAGCGAATCGGAGTTTGTTGGTGTGGAGTCTTTAATGAATATAAGTTCCATGTTTTTTTTTTAATGAGCGGCTAAGATAAGATGATTTTGCTTGCCAATATATAATTAACTGATTACTATAAGAGTGCTATAAGAAAATAAAACTTTTTAGTTGTCAGAATAAGAATAAAATTGGGAAAATATTCAAATAATCGATATTTTCATAGTAGCAACCGAGCATACGAAATCGCGCGCTAAAGCTGCTGTGTAGTAAAAAAAAAGAGATAACTATGACAAACGTGCAGCGCCATAAAAATACGTTACCAGTCATGCGATAAGCTGCGAAATGTGTTTATTTTATGCATTGTTTTTAATAAATGAATAACGGCGAAAGAAATTAAACATAGAATTACATAGTCATCTAGAGAAACGATTTAATCCTCCGATTCGAAGTATATATCGTGAATCAATCTCAAGACAAAACATAAGCTTTACGTTATGGCAGTGAAAATATGTTGTTCGAACATGCAAATACACCCTGGGGAAATTTCTTGAATTTCCATTCGACAATAAAAACACGAATATGTCACTGAGATGTAAATAAAGTTGTAATAAATAAATGTAAATGTTAATAAATGAAGATGTTGTTAATAAAGGTAAAAAGAACAATTGTGAATAACTAATATTAAAAGAATAATAATATCTCTGTATGAAGAATTCCCGAGAGCCGTGTACCTAGATGTGGGGATAGAGATTTGGGTCTCGTCCTAAATCTTGTAAGATGCAGATACACGTTTCAGCGAATAAGAATTTCTATTTCCGTATCTTTATGTTTGTCAACCGTTCCGCGTATCGTAATACAATATCTTAACAACATGGTTTCAATGCGGTTCCATCATCTTGTGTGCTTTTTTATTTTTAATTTTAATGCATAAGGCATAGGCTTACGAATCGAATAATTGAAATTAACAGTACCTTAGTTTAAAAAAATCCTATGTAAAACTAATGGACTATTTAAGAACAGTTGGACATTAGTGCTAAGTATGGATTGTATGGGCTCACTAGCGCCAATTAGTGCTCAGTTTAAATCAGTTACTACATGCCAGTCCAGTTATTGAACTTGGCTGGCGAACTGTGCTGTGGACGAGAGAGAACCAGGCATCAATACTGTCCACTACAGCGATATAAGTACACGTTTGCCTTTTGTTTGTTCTTAATTGTAATAAAATTAAAAACAACACGAACATAAATAGTGCACAATGACACTGGGAAAAGAATAAAAATGCGTCATAAAATGATACGGCAGCTCACAAAGACTATCTTAATATTATGGGGGATGTTATCGCGCCAAATCCTACAATTACATTTGAGCGGGAAATGTTGAGCGTTATTGTGCACTCAACTGAAACGAAAGCGTATATTCCGTTTTTTAAGACGCGAATTTTAGAAAAGCCTTTATTTGTGTATTTATTTATTTTATTATTTTGTATGGTAAAAGAAATTTGAAAGTTCGGTGTTTATGTATATAGTTTCTCTAGTTGTGTAGTAAATTGTTTTACTCAGATTAGTTATAGTATTATAGTAAATGTAGTGGCGTTGTTCTTAAGCCTGTGAAATGGTTATTTCAAGTGTAAAGTTTTACACTTAAATTCAGTACCACGGCCATAAGTAAATTAAAGTTATAAAATGATATAATTAGTAACAACGTAATTATACTTTGAGACGCAGTCTATGGATCACCGCCAGGAATTGGCGCGCTCAACCTTAATATTTTTGATTGACATTGACAGATGTCATAGGGATGGGATATGTATGTCAATGATCTAGTGTTGTGCCTCTACTCCGGTAAGACACCTATTTTTTCTTAACTTTCCTACGATCACAACACCATACTTTTACCTGACAGTTAAAGTTACAATAAAGAATTAACTAATGGTCATATATTCGTATATAAAGTGTTATATTCACCTCACGTTCAGAATACGTACAGTTTCTTGCGGAGAATTTATTGTCATTTATATTCCGCAGTTTTATTCGGCGCGATTCTGTTTTAAGTGAACTGTATTCTGTAACTTTGATACAGTTATGTCACAGTGCGCTTTATATTAAAATCAGTGATTGAATGTAATTACGCATCGATAATTTTATTTCATGTTAAATTTTCTGAAAGCAACTTGTCAATTCTTTATCGAATTTGCGCGTAACAGTATTGTATGCATACCCTTTTAAATAATTAACGCAAGTAAATGTAAAGAGATTTTTTTCCATAACAAAGTTTTCTTATTTCCATCGATTGATAAACAATTGGTTGTTTATATGTTAGGTACAATTATCTAATCTATAAATATTTACAACCTGTACAGATAAGTTCTTAAAAAACTTCACAATGAAACGTAGACAATACTTTTTTCTAACGTTATAAATCAGTAAGTGTGCGAAAGAATGAAGATAAACCGCTAGGGTCGGGGCCCCTTCGTAAAATTTAATGGTCTTTTCCGATGTGGCAATGAAATAAATCTGAAGAAATTGCCCGTTGGAAACCTTCTGCCACGCGTTTCTACAAACTTCTTAATAATGGACGTTTAGCTCTGAAATTGATTTTAATTATACTTTCAATTGTTTTTAAGATTTGCTACGTTAATATATGACAAGTACTTAGCCATTCAAAACTATTATTTTGATTTATATCGTGTTATGTTGGCAGCTATTATATTCTTAATCAAAGGGCCTCAGTATTAATTTAATTGTGTAATAAATCTGGCAATTAGTGACAAAGTGACACAAACAGTGTCTACGCAGAATGTAATTTGCTCGCGGTCTTTTCCCGCGCTATTTTTGGTTACTGATCGCATTAACTTAATGAAAACATTTATTACGCGCGCGTGGCTTATTTCGTCCTACCTCTCAACAAATAGCAAATAACAGAAACAATTGAAAGTTTTTCTTGTTACTAGCCTTTAATTATGGCGACCGTTTTTTGTTATATAAATACGTATCTTTTTTTAATAAATATGTGGTTTCAGACATCTTATTTAAATAACACGCTTTTACACTAAAGCCAATGAAATTATTACTTATACTGGTTACTTTAAAGTAATCTGTCTGTAGTATTTTCTTCGTTCAACAAAAACTCATCTCGATACCGAGATGCAGACAGTAATTTGAACAGAATGCATTACAAGACTCGCTTCGGGTGCAAAAATCTAAAACTTACGAGGAATGTTTTCTAGTTTCAGAGAAACTTTTAATTTGATATTTCTACAATGAAATCAAGCAATGTGCTGCTGACGTCCACGATATCGGCGTAGAAAATCACTTAATTAATTTTAAGAAGCTTTTGTTTTTTAATTTGCGAATGAAAGCTAGTTAATCTATTTTACTATTATTCTGTTACCTTTTTTGACTACGAGCGCATGCACACCTTTGGCTACCATAAACTAGCGCAATAGTCGCGCTTTGATTCATATGAGCTTATATGGAGGTGCGCAAACAACTCGATTTTTAGTTGTGCAACTAAACAGTTGAATTGACTGCGAAACAATCGACAATCGCACAACAGTTGTGTGTTATTTAGTCAAAGGTGCGCGCCCGCGTTTTAGATTTATAAGTGTTCGAAATTGTTTTATAATTGGGTTTTAATTTATGATTTCCACCAGATAGAATGATTTCCTACAATGCTTATCTTTAAAGTGTAAATAACAAATTTACACAACACAACTCTTAGCTCCGCACTGACGTTAACACGGGTCAACAGCATCCTTGTTCGATTTCAATCTGATTCACGAAACAGCATTTCCACTGCTAAAATCCTTTCATTGTTAAGACAAAATTAATATAACCATGATGTTTTCATTTTAATGTTTCTGCAATGGAAACATCACCTGCAACATCGTTGTGGCAACAAAGCATGTCGTTATCATAGGTCCCGCAAACAGAGATAAGCCGATTACTAAGCTAATTGTTATTCTACAACTGGCCGACAGTGGCGCCGCGCGGCAGTTGTAAGCACTATATCAGGTTGAAACACGTTTTATACGCAAATATTATCATATAGGGTATATCAGCATGTCACTTGACGCAAATGTATTATAATAAATAGGTTTATTTTTTTTTTTTAGCTGGAATGTGTTAAAAACCTTTAGTTACAATTACTTGTCTTAAGTTATAATAAGAATCTGTAATCGAATAGTGTCGAAGTCTTCTTTAAAACTATATTTGTCTTCATTAAATTACGTATATTTTAATGACGCAACTATATGTTTTATTAAAAATTATTCAGCGTGTCAATACTCTCACAAGCGTCGTGTTTGAATACTTAACGACACGTTGTTAAAATTTTATAATGATCAAAGATAAAAAATGTTACGATGCAATAAAATGGAGTTCATAGTTCATTTTCACTTCAAAACATTGAAGAAATATTGTTACAAATCAGAATATATAACCTATTTTTTCTATGTATACTAAACAGTTGATAATTAGACCGACCGTACATAAGGGAACAATTGCATCGATTTTTATGGAAATATTCTGGACAACCTTTTTTTCAAAATTCTGTTACAAGTAGCAGGCGACTATTCATTTTTTAGAAATAGCGTTAATACACAAAGTATCATTTAAAAATAATTTAAATCTTATTAAAAAATTATATTCCCAGTGTTTACTTGCAAACTATATTACTAATATTATCTTAATTCTAATGTGAAAGTTTGGATGGCTGGATGTTTGATCGATGAAATACAGATGTAGA